ATATATATATATATATATATATATATATATATATATATATATATATATATATATATATATATATATATATATATATATATATATATATATATATATATATATATATGAGATACAAGAGGAAGGTGGTACCGGCTTACGCACCTACATCCAGCCATAAGGACGCTTCAGTTGAAAGCTTCTACGTGTAATCGGCAATGAGTAAGGTAAAAACAAAGTATACTATACTAATGGGAGTTTTTAATGCAAAGGTTGGGAAGAAGCGGGCTAGACAGCAGGCAGTGGGAGATTATGGCATCGCTACTAGAAATGACAGAGGAGAGCTATTAGTAGGATTCGCAGAACGTAATTATTTTCGGATTTTGAATACCTTCTATCACAAACGAGAAAATCGTAATTCGACATGAAGGAGCCCTAATGGCGAAATTAAGAACAAACTAGAATTTATAATGAGTGCGCAGCCATGCATCGTGCAGGATGTGGAAGTGCTTGGCAAGGTACGATGCAGGGACCATAGAATGGTGCGATCTCGAATTCACCTAAACTTGAAGAAGGAACGACAGAAACTGATACGCAAGAAGCCAATCAATGAGCTAGCACTGATAGGAAAAGTAGAGGAATTCAGTCTCACTTCAGAACAGGTACTCGGCTCTTATCGAGAAAACCAGCCTTAGCGTTGATGCAATGAATGATAATCTGACGAGTATCATTACGGAGTGTGCAGTGGAAGTTGGAGGTACGGTACTTAGACAGGACACTGGCAAGCTGTCCCAGGAGACGAAGAACTTTATAAAAAAGCGTCAAAGCATAAACGTTTCTCGTACAAGAGACAAAATCAAGCTGGCAAGGATTTTGAAGTTGATTAATAAGTGTAAGGTATCCGATGTAAGAAGGTATAACATGGAGAGAATTGAACACGCTCTGAAAAACGGAGGAAGTGTCAAAGCAGTGAAGAGGAGACTTGGGATAGGCAAAAATATCATGTATGCACTAAGGAACAAAGAAGGCAAAATAACTACCAACATGGATAGGATAATTAAAATAGCGGAGGAGGTTTACAGAGACCTGTACAGTAGCCGGGAAAACCCCGACCTTAATACTATGAGAACTAGCAGTGACCCAGATGACACCTCATCAGTAATATTAGAAGAAGTCAGAAAAGCCTTCTAGAGCATGCAAAGAGGTAAAGCTGCTGGTGAGAACCTGGTAGCATCAGATCTGCTCAAAGATGGAGGACATATTGTAATGGGTGCAAGAGAGGAAAAGTCAAAAACTAGTTTATTATGGGCGAACTTGTGCCCTGAAAATTATGTGCGAAAAGATGGAAGAGTCCGCTAGAGCGTTCCAAAAACAAAAACTGTTCCTCTGCTCACGCACCTTCTTCGCAGCTCCAACCCACACTGGCTCGTGCCTGTGAACAAGAGGCATGAGTCGTGCGGCTCCAAGCAAGAGTGCGCACAAGACTGTGGACGCTGATTTTTCATAATGTAGGATATTGTAAACAGTCTCTGTGGCAATATTTTGTTGTAAAAACTAGCCACCCTGTTTACGAGGTGCCTCATGACGGTAAGAGTACCAGTGTCTTGAAAGAATGCTATCATAATACATAAAAAAAGAGATGACAAGGACTTGAAGAATTACAGGCCAATCAGCTTACTCTCCGTAGTATACAAGCGATTTACAAAGGTAATTGCTAACAGAGTTAAGAAAACATTAGAATTCAATCAACCAAAGGAACAAGCAGGATTTCTAACAGGCTACTCAACAATCTACCACATTTATGCTATCTATCAGGTAATAGAGAAATTTTCGGAATATAGCTAACCACCATACATAGCCATAATAGATTACGAGAAGGCGTTTGATTCAGTAAAAATATCAGCAGTCATGCAGACGTTGCGGAATCAGGGCGTCGATGAAGCATACATAAACACCCTGGAAGAGATCTACAGGAACCAGCTGCTACCATATTGCTTCATATAGAAAGCAACAGAATACCAATCAAGCAGGTTATGAGGCAGGGGGATACAATCTCCCCAATGCTATTTACCGTGTGCTTACAGGAGGTTTTGAGAGGCCTAGAATAGGAACAGTTAGGGATAAGGGTTAATGGAGAGCGTCTCAGTAACCTGCGCTTCGCCGATGACATTGCATTCCTGAGTAACTCAGGGGACGAACAGCAACTCTTCATTATGGAGTTAGACAAGGAGAGCAGAAAGGTGGGTCTTAAAATTAGTATGCAGAAAACGAAAGTAATGTTCAACAGCCTCGGAAGAGGGCAGCACTTCGAGATAAGTAATAGTGCACTTCAAGTTGTAAAAGACTATGTCTACTTAGGGCACGTAAGAGCCGCAGAGCCGAACCACGAGATTAAAGTAACTTGAAGAATAATAATAGAGTCGAGCACATTTGGCAAGCTCTCTCAAATCGTGACGGGTAGATTGCCACTATCTCTCAAGAGGAGGATATATAGCAGCTGCATCTTGCCGGTACTTAGCTATGGAGCGGAAACCTGGAGACTTACAAAGAGGGTTCAGCTTAAATTGAGGACGAGGCAGCGAGCAATGGAAAGAAAAATAGTAGGTGTAACCTCAAGAGACAAGAAGAGAGCAGAGTGGATTATGGAACGAACGGGGGTTAAGGATATCATAGTTGAGATTAAGAAGAAGAAATGGACATGGGCCGGGAATGTAGTGCGTAGACAGGATAACCGCTGGTCATTGAGGGTAACTCGCTGGATTCCCAGAGAAATCAAGCGGGTTAGGCGGAGACAGAAGGTTAGGTGGGCAGATGAGATTAAGAAGTTTGCGGGTGTAAATTGGCAGCAGCAAGCACAGAACCGAGTTGACTGGCGGAACATGAGAGAGGCCTTTGTCCTGCAGTGCACGTAGTAGATCATGATGATGATGATGATGATGATGATATATGTTCATAATACGTCCCGAGGGCGTCAGCTGGAGAAAGCCAAACGGATGTAAAAACTTATTCCGACATTAGTATTCTTCAGATGTCCCCTGGACACTTGGTTTGGACGTGGACGTTCGGACTTTTTTTTGGATGCCCGAGGGAGTTTCAATGCCGATTGGCAGTACTGCTTCGTCAGCCATATAGAAACAGATCACATAATGCCTTGCGAAATAGTACCTCGCTTATCCGCTCAAGGAAGAATTATGGCATAGTAGGTGTGGCCCTACTTCACGAAAAGTATGATTTATGATGTAGTCAATACCTTTCGAAAAGCCAAAACCTAATTCACAGTTGACCTTGCCCCAACTGAAAGCTGCGCCCTGAATTTGCATTACAGGCAGCTTTGTAATCGTCGTCGGAAAAGTTTTCATGTCCAATATCAAGATATATTCACTTCTCACTAACACTTCCATATTTTTAAGGAGAGGAGTCATCGCAAGAAGAAGCGTTTACGTTTATACGAAAAAAAAAACGTCCTAATTTGTGCTATCCCATTCCACTGACATCACCAGGACGACCATGCCCATGATAAGATGGTATGTGCACCTTTGACAACAAGATACCTTAAGCTAAGTCATAGTTACGCATTATTAGGCAGCTGTATTATAAGAATACATATGTAATGTTTATAAACGTGGATAACCAGCACTGCAACGCCAATAGGCGTCTCACGAATATGAGGTTCTGTTTGAAAAGGAGTTCCGAGTCCAGGCAATGCTGTGTGGTAGAGTTCTTGATTGTCGCACAAAATGCTCAGCTTTGATTCCTGCTGGGACTCTGACATTTATTCTTTGCACTCATCGGGTCAACGCTGCCGATGTGAGCTTTTTCCTTAACGCTTGCGTTTAAAAATTAGGCACATACCCGCGGACGGCTATGTGCCACTGCTTGGCGAAACATGTTTGAAGATGTGGGAAACGGCATTTTGACATCGAACAACCAACTTACCCTTTCATGCTAATTATGGTTTACCCCAAATTAAGGGCGGTTCATGAGAGCACCCATATGTAGGCAGGCAAGCAGACAGACAGACAGACAGCCAGACAGACAGACAGCCAGCTAGACAGACAGACAGACAGACAGACAGACAGACAGACAGACAGACAGACAGACAGACAGACAGACAGACAGACAGACAGATAGACAGACAGACAGACAGACAGACAGACAGACTATCAAAGTGCCCGTAGTTCGCGAATAGCATATGATACCTTGCATTTTATTTTATATACACAAGTTAACCGAGTTTAAAAGGTAAGATGACATGATATACGACTTCTTTTCTCGAGCACTTTTATCTCTCGTACTTTGTATGGCTGAAATTGAAAAAATATTTTCAGCGTGATGAGTATTTGTAACTAAGCACTTACTGGTTGAGAGAGAGATAACGTAACTTGAAACAAGTATAGGAGTTAGGCTTCACGTTGTGCACTGTTCGGTCGTTGAAGGAACAAATGGTCTGTTTAGATGCGGTTGAACTATAGCTGAATTAGACAACTCTGATTATAAACAAATAGCTCTGAAGGATCATGCGTGGACAACAGCTCTCTGCACACACGGATGAGAAGCAAGGTTATGTGCTCGTACCAGTGCAAGACGCAACTACAGTATTTTAATTTGAAATCTTCAAAGCAAGAATCAGTCATATATGTGTCTCTTCACATGTGCATTTGTTAATGATTGAAAAATTTCTCGATAGCCAACCCCCGTCTTGCAGAAGCCTTCGTGCAATCAATGCTGACAAGCTTGTGTGACCAGCTCTTCTAGCATTATGTAGGCTTAAACTGCTCTCGAGACGAGACACCAGAGAAGCCGACAGGGCCCAAACTGGTGTTATTAGTGCGGGTTCGTCATGTCTGTTTTTAATAATCTGTCCCGTCACAAGCACAGTTGGAGTTTACATAATATGTCATACCAACTAGCCAAACGTACCTTCCAGCCAGACACAGCTTGAAGGAAAGCATGACAAGTGTGCTAGCTTCATTCAGTTAAATTCGCGCGAACACGAGACACGTGGGTTGTGAAACGTCGCTCACCGGAGTAGCGCTCTTCAGAACGTAGCTGCGTTGCACAGGAGGATTTCGAGGGCATCCGGGGTGAACGTAAACAGTATTACTACTGGCAGTGCAGTTGGCATTCCATCGTATTCTGTCGTTTTTTGCGACATTCCTCTCGAACACTGACCCGTGTCTTCTGTTACAGCGCTTCTACCCGTGCAAAATGTGGCACTTGAGGCGACAGAGAAAAAATTGTCGGCCACGACGACACAAAGAAGCTTGCGAAGAAGAGCAGCCACGTGACAGCCCGCAGCTGCTTCGACGTTACGCGCGACGTCCCGGCACGTTTCCTGAGTACCCGCATGTGCAGCTGACGCCGCTTGCACCTGCACGCAAAGGCCAAGCAATTCGCCTCGTAAGCAGAATGCCTCGCGAAGCACGACAGGCGTTCCTGCCGCTTGTTAGGACAACAACTGCGATCCATGCTGAATTGTTTTTCCTTTCAGTGTGAGCAAAGGCGCGCAATGCCAAGACAGTCATGTTTCGCCTGGACACGCTTTAGTCCCATCAGCGCAACAGTTTTCAGAGTTGCCGGAAGCGGTCAACCTACAACGGCTTCACAGTAGATAGCAGCATGATATTAGGGCAGCTTCGCCATGTTCCAAGCCTGATGGAGCTGGTCAGCCGCTTTCGCTTTCCTCTCATCTCACTTTTTATTTTTGTATTTCCTGTTTTTTTTTCTCTTTTTATGACTGTTTATTTTGCTTTCTATACTTCCTGCTTTTCCTTTCTTTATTTTGCTCCCTCTTTTTTTAATTTTTGCATGTGGCACTTTATTGAAAGCTCTCCACACTTTATATCATTGTCGAGGCACTCGAAGTACAAGAGGAAGAGCTGTTTTTTTTTGGGGGGGGGGGCGTGAGCACGTGCTCAATATGATACGGATGACTATGCTGCATGCATGTGGTTCTGTATGCTTATTATCATTATCAAGGGGCTTGAAGAACAAGAGGAAGGTGATCTTCCTTAGGTGCCAGCGAGGGCTGCATCTGACTATGCTCTATGTGGTTCTGCATGCCGACACTAAAAGAACTTTGGCCGCATATTTGTGCGCTTCGCTGCAACTTTCGTCGAAAGATGGTAGTCTTCTGCCGACCTCATTTCGTGCATAGTGTAGAAATTAGGCGTAGGCTAAGAAACACTGGGGTCTTTGAAATTACGCATTTTTGTTATCATCATAATCAGCCTGATTACGTTCACTGCAAGACAAAGGCCTCTCCCATGTTCCGCCAGTCAACCCGGTTCTGTGCTTGCGGCTGCCACTTTATAACTGCAAACTTCCTAATCTCATCTACCCAGCTAACTTCCTGTCTCCTTATAAGCCGCCTGCCTTCTCTGGGAATCCAATCATCATCATCATCGTCATCATAATCACCTTCATTATCACCCAGACTACAACCACTGCAAGAGAAAGGCCTCTCTCTTGTTCCGCCAGTCAACTCAGTCTTGTGCCTGCTGTTGCCACTTTATACCCGGAAGTACCGGCAAGATGCAACTGTTATATACCTTCGTCTTGAAGGGTAGTGGAAATCTATCAGTCATTATTTAAAAATTATTGGTGAATGTGCTCCACTCGATGATTATTCTTCTAGTTACTTAAATCTAGTGGTTCTGCTCCCCTGTTATTACCTGTCCTAAGTAGACGTAGTCTTTTATACCTTAAAGCGCACTGGTACTTATCTCGAAGCGCTGTTCTCTTCCGTGGTGGTTCATTAATTTTGTTTTCTGTAGATTAATTTTGAGACCTACCTTTCCTCTTTCCTTATGCAATCAAGTAATCTTGAGTTGCCATTTATCTCTTGAGTTACCCAGCAACACAATGTCATCGGCGAAGCGCAGGTTAAAAAGGTACTCTTCATTCACGCTTATACCCGATTCTTCCCACTCTAGGCCTCTGAAAACCTCCTGTAAACACGCGGTAAAAATCATTAAGCAGATTGTATCGCCTTACACCCTCCTTTATTGGTATTTTCTCACTTTTTAAGAGACAATGTGGTGGCTACATCCTCTGTAGATTTTTTCCAGGATGTTTATATATGTTTCGTCGACGCCCTGATTCCTCAGTGTCTGCATGACTGTTGATATGTCTACTGAATCAAATGCCTTCTCGTAATTTATGAAAGCTATGAATAGTGCTTGACTGTATTCTGAGCGTTTCTCTATTACCCGATTGATAGTATGAATGAGGTCGATTTAGTAGCCTGTTCTAGATCCTGCTTTTTTCCTTTCGTTGATTAAATTTTATTGTTGCCTTAATTCTGTTAGAAACTACCTTCGTAGAAGTCTGTTAGCAATTACCGCACGATTAGCTTAACTAGTGTTCCATCTAAAATCCTTGAGCATATTATAGCATCCACTCTTAGGACCTACCTAGAATCAATCAGTTTTTTCTACCCTTTTCAACATGGTTTCCGAAAATATCTTTCCTGCGAAAAACAGCTGGCTGAATTTACTAATGACATACTAGTGCGAATGGATGATCACGTACAAATAGATGCAATTTTCTTAAATTTCTCCAAGACCTTCGATCGCGTACCCCACAAGCACCTGCTCATCAAATTATCCGCTCTTGGTATCCCCCCAAACCTTATAAAATGGCTCGAGCATTTCTTAACAGGACCCTTTCAGTTTACCGTTGCTAACAATTTCCAATCAACCCTTACAAGCGTCACTTCCGATGTTCCCCAGGGTGCCGCCTTATCACCTCTATTATTTATTATATACGTGAATGACCTTCCTAGTAACCTTAAATCACAGCTGCGCCTATTTGCAGACGACTGCGTTCTTTATAACCCCCATTACTCCCCTAACGACGCGATCACCCTACAACAGGACCTTGACACCATTGCTTCATGGTGCAAAAAGTGACATATGCCCCTAAACCTCACTAAATGCAAGGCCATGTTCTTCACGCGTAAGCACACCTCACATGAAACCTACTGCATTAATTCGATTCCCATTGATCACACGCGCACTTACAAATATCTAGGAGTTCATCTGACATCAACACTAACATGGGTGAAACACATTGAAACCATTCGTTCTGAAGCTTCCCGCACACTAGGCTGCTTACGACATAACTTGCGATCTGCATCTCCTGACATAAAGAAACTCGCATATCTGACATACGTGCGACCAAAACTCGAGTATGTGTCATCCATCTGGCATCCTTCACAAGCTTATCTCACCGATGATTTGGAAGCCGTTCAAAATCGCGCAGCTTGTTTCACTACGTCACAATATTCAAGGCATATCAGCGTAACCACACTAAAACAAACGTTGTCACTCGCATCGCTCGCTTCACGTCACAAAACCTCTCGCATCTGGCTCCTTCACACATTCTTTTACTTTAGCAGGTCGGGACAACCTCTCCTAAAACGCCAATTGAGAACGTCATCGCGCCTGTCCCATACGCACCTTCTGATGACCATAAATGCCAGACGACGGCGTTGAGCAGCTCATTTTTCCCTCATGTCGTAACACTCTGGAATGCGCTGCCAGATGATACTGTTTCTTACAGGGACCACTCAACATTTCGCGAAAAACTAACTCTTTTCCAAAATCCAAGTGTGATTACAGTACATTAACTCTTGCGTTTATAGTTGTTTTACTGTACTCCCAGAATTTATTTATCGCCTATCATATTTTTAATGTTTTGTTATGCCTGTTACTTCCGCTTGTGTTCTTTATTTGCTTATTCATTGAAAACAGTGTGCACTTTCATATTGTTACATTGCTTAGAAACTAACAACCTGGATGTACGACCCCCCCCCCCCTCCTTTATGAAATGCTTTCGGGCCCTTAAGGTTGAATAAATGAAATGAAATGAAGTAAATAGGTTGTATAGGATAGAGAGCAAGCTGATTGGCCTGTAATTCTTCAAGTTCTTGTAGTTTTCTTTCATATGTATTAAGATGATGTTAACAATCTACATGAGGAGACACTTCGTAAACAAGGTGGCTAGTTTTTCATGCACAGTCTAGCTGTCCTAGGTCTTTCAGCAGATGTGATGTTACCTGATCCTCACCAGCAGCTTTGGCTCTTTGCATTCCCTCCAAGGATTTGCTGCTTTCTTTTGTCATTATTTGCGTGATGTCATTTCGGTTACTGCTTTTTTTAAGCTATGTTCATGGTTGTCTCTGCTACTGTACAGATCGCCGTAAACGTCCTTCGCTACTTCAACTATCCTATCTATATTGGTAGTTGCTTTGCCTTCCTTGTCCACAGGTGCATACGCGTATATTGTGGTTTTGCCTATCCCAAGAGTTCTCTTCGCCGCTTTGACGCTTCCTCCGTTCATTAGAGCATGCTCAATTTTCTTCATAATATACCTTCGTAAATCAGATACCTTACGTCTATTATTTAAATTCTAAAGGTCTGCTACTTCTATTTTGTCTGTCGTGTTTAAGGCTTTCATGCTTTGATGTCTCTTAGGAAGCTTCTTCGTCTCCTGGGACAGCTTGCTAGTGTCCTGTCTAACTACCACAGCTCGAACTTACACCTCACACTCCTCAGGTCATCATTCAGTGCGTCAACGCTAAGGCTGACTCCATCAATAAGAGCCGAGTACCCGTTCTGAAGTGAAACTGTGAATTCATGTACTTTCCCTCCCAGTGCTAGCTCAATTATGGGCGTTTTGCGCATTAGTTTCTGGCGTTTTTTCTTCATGTATAGGCACATTTGAGAGGTTTCCTACCATGCTTTGGTCACTGCATCTACCCTGCCAAGCACGTCCACATCCTGCGCGATGCTTGGGTGTGCGCTCCGTATAAAGTCTATTTCTCTTTTTGACGCCTTTAGAATTCTTCCATGTCTATTTATTGTTAACTTGATCTCGGTAGAAAGTATTCAAGATTTGTAAATGATTGCGTTGTGCGAATTCTACTAATAACTCTCCGCTAGTGTTTCTAGCACCGGTGCAATAGTCCCCTGTTGCCTGGTCTAAAGCCTGCTTTTTACCTACCGTGACATTGAAGTCGCTCATCAGTATTGTATACTGTTTCTACTTCACTCACTGCCAATTCTACGTCTTCATAGAACCTTTCAGCTGATACATCATCATGACTGGATACGTCATCAGGACTGTACCACCTTCATCTTGTATCTCTTATTGAGTTTAATTACAATACCTACTACCCTTTCATAATTACTATGGTATTCCTTCATGTTACCAGCTGTATTTCTGTGAATAAGCAACCCCACGCGCAGTTTTGTTCTGTCAGCCAAGCCACGAT